CTTATGAAAAATTTAACAACAACAAACCAACTTTTGCTCCGTTCAGTTCTCTCAAAATGCACCAACATTTAAATCTGTCCAAAATAAACCCAAGTTTCTAAATTTTCTCCCATATTAAACCAAGCAGGTAAGTTGACATGTTATACCAAGTTGCAATCCAAGTAGTGTCATCTCCTTATTGGTTAATTTTTTATAAAAAAATTCTGATAATTTAAATATATTATTTATTTTATTTTTAAAATTTTGATAATAATTAAAAACAGATTCCTCCCTTTCCCCCCAATGTAACTATTCTTATTTATAGTGCACAAAATATACGAAGTACTCTATATGTGAGTATGTGACATCAAATCATTTTTTTTTCCACTATCTTATGCTCCGTATTCCTTAAAAACCATGCAATAAAAGTATAAAACTACCAATTGTGGGAATATAACCTTCATCCTGGAACAAAGTAGTACTTTGTATTAAAATGGTGGGAATTGACCTCATCATCTATTTCCAATCTCATTATGTTGTTCTTGTTCCCAACCTTATCAAACACAGTGGGTTCTAGTGCGGCTGATCGCACCATACGACAAGTTGCCAAATCAGCAAATGACAAAGTAACCCCAGACAAAGTAACCCCTTACTGACTTAGTAGCCCTTGATCAAGTAACCCCTGACTGACCTAGTAACCCCTGACCTAGTAACCCCTAACCGACCTAGTAACCCCAAGTAACCCCTAACCGACCTAGTAACCCCCAACCTAGTAACCCCAATTCAAGTAACCCCTAACCGACCTAGTAACCCCAAGTAACCCCTAACCGACCTAGTAACCCCCGACCTAGTAACCCCTAGCAACCCCAAGTAACCCCTAACCGACCTAGTAACCCCAAGTAACCCCTGACTGCCGACCTAGTAATCTGAAGTAACCCCTAACCGACCTAGTAAACCCCAACCTAGTAACCCCTGACCGCCGACCTAGTAACCCCTATCCGAACCACCAAGTAACCCCTGATCAGATCTAGTAACCCCTTACCCACCACCAACAAAAAACTACCACCAACAACCACCACCAACGAACCACTACCAACCTAAACGCCTTGCCACTAGCCCCGGCCCTAACCCACAAACAAAACCCCGATCCAACCAAACCATTAAAAAAAATCAAATCAAACAAATACCTTAAAATGTTAACAATGGTTTCGAATATCACTTCAAATATGGCTAAAAAGGCCAAATTCAACCATGAAAATTCTAGATCTAGAGTTTTCATGGCTTAATTTGGCCTTAAAAACCTTGAACTTGTTTTCCGGCGACGGAGTCACCAAACCACCACTACCCTCCCAGCGATACCACTACTTCCGACGAATGAACCACCGACGAACGAACCATGAAGACGACGATTGCGAAATTTGTGTTACGTTCTCTGAGAAAATGAGATGAAGACTTTGGCTTAAAGAAAAAGAAAAGAGAAGAGAGAAAAAGATTTAAAAAAAAAATAAAAAATTATGGTCAGCCACATATGAAACTTTGTATATCAAACAAGCAAGAGGTTTTTTTTTTGTTTTTTTTTCATCAATTGAGATTAAATCGATCTCCCAATCCCACCCTTAATTCTTGGGTACCAATACATAATTTTCAAAGAATGTAAACATATTGTAAGATTTGTAACTATGCCTTTTAATCAATGTCAAATTGCAATGAACTGACTTCAAATCCACATATATCTCAATCTACAAATGATTAAGGTGCAATACAACAATGATTTACCTGAAAAGTAATACTTCCTCTGTTCTATTAATATTACAACAACTAGTATAGTGCCCGTGCGATGCACGGTTTATAAATCAAATTATTAAACCCGTAGGAAAAATAAAAATAAAAACAAAGGTAATTCATTTACTATTAAAGGACTTGTACTAATGGTCAATAAAAAAATAAAATTAAAGCAACGTTATTTGAATAGTATTTTATGTTATTTGAATTTCTTTTAATTTTTTTATAATGTTATTTTATTAATTGAAAAATAATTGAATAATACTCCACATAGCTATATAAGAAGTGGACTAATTTATTTATATCTTTCATTGAGAAAAAAAACTAAAATTTTCTTATCATACCATCTGCATTAGTAGCTACAATCAATCTAATATATACATGTTTTATTTACCCGTCGCACTCATTAAATCTATAGACACAATAATAACCCTATATTTGACCTACCAGAACATATATTTTCCTAAGTTAAGAATTGTGCCAAAAACTATATATTATATAATAGTCATATATATAACCAACAGCTGATTAAATATAGTATACAACACAAATAGTTCGTATATAGGTATGGATACTGATAATTTTATATAAATAAAATATACGGATTATATATTACTAAGATTTATCCCTACATTAATTATAAAAAGGTTAACAAAACTCTTAAAATAGTGCATGGACATTTATATATCTAAAATTGTTCTTTTTACATATATTTTCCCCCATTTAATTTTAAATGCCTTAAAATTGTCTCTTGAATTCGCTAAATTGATTTAAAAGGTTATGTTTATTTCAATATTTAAACCCATTTACTATTTTCATTTCCTTTTGTTTTAATTTTTCTATTTAGAATTTATTAGACTATTAGGTTTCAAGATCGAAGTCAATATCTTTTTACCGTACAATCACTCTTTTTACCGTACAATCACTAAATCAAAGTCGCTCAACTAAAGTTTTGGACATTGCATAGCTACACAACATCCAACACATTTAATGATTACATGCAAATAATTTTAATAAAACTACGCATTCGATATAAGTTATTAAACAATTTAACTATATATACATTTTGATAGGTTTATATCTTTCATATTAACATAAATTTACAAATGTTATTATCATATTTTGAAAAAAAAAATTACACTTTGGAGTTTTGTATAAGATAGATAAAGGATAAGTTAATTTCAGTCATATATGCATTGAATTTTGGGTGTTCTATCTGGTTCACCCTTTGGGCTAATCCAGATTTGAGGACATTGCATAGCTACACAACATCCAACACATTTAATGATTACATGCAAATAATTTTAATAAAACTACGCATTCGATATAAGTTATTAAACAATTAAACTATATATACATTTTGATAGGTTTATATCTTTCATATTCACAAAAATTTATAAATGTTATTATCATATTTTGAAAAAAAAAATTACACTTTTGAGTTTTGTATAAGATAGATAAAGGATAAGTTAATTCTCGTCATATATGCATTGAGTTTTGGGTGTTCTATCCGGTTCACCCTTTCGGCTAATCCAGATTTGAGGATCAGTTCTAGGTTATTAGGTTCCACTCCCCTTCCGATTGTTGTTGCAGGGGAGCACACAGGTCCTCCCTACCAAGTGTAATCTCAATCACCACTATACCAACATGGAGGACACGTGTTATAAAATATTATGTTATATACATATACTTTTTTATATTATAAAAAAATTATATTATATACACATACTATTATAGTTAAAATTATTATTATGTATAAAACAACATAAATTATTGCACATGATTGTTGTATATCTAGTATAGTACATGAGCAATGCACGATTTTTAAATCAAAATGTTAGTTTTTCTAAAAAAATTCATAAGTAATAGCATTGTTAATACGAATATTACAATTTAAAACATGAGTAATAGTTATAATACATTTTATATCTATCCCTTTTCCGTCAAAGGTTAATTCAATTTAACTTTTATTCTTCTTGTTTAGATTGGTTATTGGTTCAGTTTTTTTTTTTTAATTTTTTTTTATGCAAGAAAAACAAAAAGTCATTGTAAAAGACATTGTATACAAAATGAAAGGCCGATTAAAATTAAATTTATGTTCAAGATTATGTATTTTTTTTCCAAGAGAACATTTCGGCTCGACATTCAGTATTTGTCAAGGAGGACAACAAACGATAAAAGTAATTTTTACACTATTTTGTATTTTTATCAAAAACTTTTGTATTCATCCGATTACTTGAATTGAATTTAGGATAATTTGTAGACTATTTTAGGTAACTTTTATCAATAAAGCATAAATAACTTTCATTCATTAAAGGGTAGCTTTTATAATAGGTGCACAATATTTTATTGTACATCTGTTTTTTTTTTAATGTTTGTATTGATTTCATAATTGACGTCAAACTAAATATTATCGATTTTATTTAATTTTCATAAAAAAAAAACTATATTAGCCTTTCAAAATACGAAATATTTGTTTCCTGAATTATGCCACTTTAATCATATTGTTTCAAATTAGTTATTATTCTTTAACTTAACTATAAATAAAGATTGGAAAGATTTTATGGATTATTTGTAGTATTGGAAAGTATATATTTATTATAAAAAATTAAATTAATATTTATCTTAGGAAATCATGAAAATCTTATGCATGTATAGAAACATACTTTTATTGTTTGAAGTTTAACAAAAATAACTATGCTTGAATATGTAAACAATAATTATATAGATATATTTTATACATAAGATAAGTCAATGAGAGAGTGACATTTGTCATCCTCACATTGAGGCGCTTGTCTTTTAGTATAATATATATAGATATAGATAGATAGATATATAGATGGACTTTTTGCACAATTCGTCACTCTTGTTTGATCATATGGTATAACTTATACGTTAAGCAAAATATAGGCATGTGGGATCTTGTTGGATTCGTCTCATAAAATACTTTCACAATATTAACTTTTTATAATTTTTACTCTTACACAATTATAGATATCTAGCATATAAAATATGCTTTAGAATGCGTAATTTCCTCCTTATTGCAATATTAATAGAACGGAAGAAGTACTTTGTTTCAATGGCTTTCCAACGACTGGATATGCCCATTTTGATACAGAGTATAATGTTATTGACTAGCATGTTCGCCTAAATAATTGATGATTCGCCCGTATCATGCCTCAAAAATATTAAAATAATAACATACCAGAACAATGAAGAGAGAAAAAGGTGGTGTAAGCAATTGATAATATATACCATCTCTGTTAATTTATCCGTAACTTTGGAACTTTGGAATTTTTAACCCTTACATATAGTATAGGTAAATAAGATAAATATTAACGGAGGTAGTAATTTTAATTTATACAAATTGGTTGAGAAACTCATCCACGGTTGTGTATTTTAGCTCAGGATATAGTATTGTTGCTTCCAAACCGAATGATGAATTGATAGCAAAGTTGGATTGTTGTCCATTCACAAAAACTGAGTGAGCAATTGATAGTATTATCTTCAATAATGCATCTGTTGCATCTGTGAACAATGGATGAACCATAATTCATAAATTAACAATAGCACAATTTTACAAAAATGTATAACTCACTTTAATGTTTTTGGTAGGTTAGGTCCCGTGTCTTGCACGGTAATTTTTAATAACTACTCCGTATTTGCAAATAAACAATGTATTTGTCTCAAATATTATAATTAATCTATACTTCTATACTTAGTATTTAAAAACAAAAACCACAACTTTTTCAAATGACACGTGGCATCATAAGTCACTCATTACCCCCATATGCCACGTGTCACCTCCCTTAATATTTATATTTAAGTCTTTATGCATTCTACAACTTGCAAATTCAATTAAGAAAGTGAAGGGTTTCATTTCCACCATAATAAAATAAAGTTCAATTAATTAGTACACAACTATACATTGCATCTATTAAAAAAAAAAAGAAAGAAAGAAAGGAAAAGAAAGAAACTACGCATTACATAAATATATGAATAATAATAAAAATTGTCTTTTCATCTCATAGACTTTAAATATAATCTTAATTAATATGTCATTTCATATCCCACAATATTTATGTATATATCTAACTAAATTCCTTTATCTTCTTTCACACTTCTATCCTCACTCGTTTTTTTGTTTTCCTATTAATTTATAGAAATAAAACATAACTGGTTTTCTTAAAAAAATAAAATAAAAATAAAGCATACCTACATATGAAAATAATTCACCCAAGTAACAACCCGTGCATTAAACGGGTCAAAAAGCTAGTTTATTCTAAAGAGCCTATAATGCATTTATTATAAAAGAGCATATTTATATGTATTTTTTCTTCAATATTAAATTTCACCAACAAATTTAGTACCATTTTCTTGTTGTTAACCAAATGAATTTCTTAAAACTTTGTACATTACACTTCGTAATCTGTATGTATGTCACAAATTATGTTAAGAACCTGATTTTTTTCCTTAAATATATACTTCCTCTGTTCTTTTTTACTTGACCTGTTTCTTTTATCACGTTTGTCAATGCAAAACTTTAACGATCAATAACTTCAATTCTCCATAAGTAAAAATCATAAATGTTACTCCCTCCGTCCCTAAATTACATTCCTCTTTCTAGCATTTATTCCTCACATAATAGAGAGAAAGAGGAATGTAATTTAGGAACGGAGGGAGTAGTATATTATGATAGTATTTATTGAGACGAATTCAAAAAGATCTTTCATGAATATGTTTTTCCTTACATATTATTCACAAAAGACGGTCAAAGGAGGAGTAGTGAATAGTGTAAAAGTCAAAGCGGGTCAAGTAAAAAAAACGGAGGAAGTAGTTGTTAATATTTTTTTGTATAAGGACACGTCAAATCTTTTATTTTAAGCATTTTTTTAATATTTGATATTCAAATTACTTTCTTGGAGCTTTTAATATATAATTAAATAAAATAAAAATAAAATCCTTGTCGTAATTATTATATGTGTAGTATGTACATAATATTCTAGCACAATTTATGTTAAAAAATCGGATCTACTTTTTTTTTATTCAAATTTATATGTTGTCAATGTATGTATTTTGTAAGGATATATCAAATCTTATATTTATGTATTACTCCGTAGTTTGCTATATACTTCGTAGTTATTAATCTATTGGTACCACTCCATATAGATTGGTGTATGGAAAATTTAATAGGTGTGTCGCGTACCTAACAAAAATAAACCTAACACGCCTATCAAAAAAAAAAATTATACTTCGTAGTTATTTATGTATAAGATTCATCCATTCTATAATAATTGACATATATAAATTTAACATGTGCACCTATTTGACCCTATAAAAAATATACTTGAATATTATTAGTAGTAAAAAAGTTTAAAGTTGATGTTATGAAACTTTATATAAATATCTATCTAGCAATTTTTTTATGATAATATATACTTCTTCCTTTAAAAAAAATTCACCATTTGGATTGGGCAATATGGGTTTAATAAAGATTTAAAAAGAAATCAAATAATAAAAATGTCCATGTGACTACAAAAAAATTAAAATAAAAAGAGTAAATATCACATGTAAGCAAAGGTAGGATGGGTATTCAGTTTGTATGTCAAAAAGTGTATGAAAATATACCTTAATTAAGAAATTGTGCAATTAATATGTAACTTCAAAGAAAATGGTCAATTAATAATAATTAGTTTTATATAAAAAAAAACAGAGAAAGTATCTCTCTAAACTTTGTAGTCAGGCTTGATATATACATGAATAATAAATTAAAATAAATAAATAAATAAACAAAATCAAAGTGTATCAATTGTTACAGAACGTATTTAAAAAAAAAATTATAAAACGGATGAAATATTGAAAGAGTAAGGCCCCGTTCACTTCGCCTTATTTTTGCTAAGCTGAAATTATTTTTGCTGAATCGAAATTAATTTTACTCAACTGAAATTATTTTTACAGATGTTCTATTATACTTCTTCTTTGAGTTTACTGATTTTAATGAACTGAAATTATTTTTACTAAACTGAAATTATTTTTACTGAACTGAAATTAATTTTACTGAAATGAAATTATTTTATTGAATATTATTTTTTTTAAGTAAACAGGGCCTAATTGGGTAGGGGTTTGGATTATTATAAATCAAGTTCCAACATAGTTAAAAAAACTTTAGAGGTATAAGAATCCTAATTAAACTAACCTTGAATGTTCTTAAGAAGTTGTTCCTCTTTGACATATATCTTTTCAAGCTTCTTGCCAAGTTTGTTCTCCCATAAAGACACAAGCTCGTTGAAAGAGTAGATGTTTGCTGGGGGACTAATGTGAAGGATGTGAAGGATCTTGTTTAAGGTCCTTGGATCATCCATTGCTTTAATAGTATACATGGCAATATCTTCTTCCATGTTATAAATTCCTACATTGACAAATTGAAAAATGATTATATGCTAATCAATGATTCAATGTAATAAAAACTGAAGTAAAATGAACCAAAATCCGATTAAAATTAAATAAAGATGTCAATGTCATTTATTTGATTAGCATTAATATGTACTTTCTAAATATGAAAACTTTAAAAAATTATAAAGAACAAACGAAAATAAAGATATTCAATGATAATTAAACGCATTAAAAAAAAATGATCATATCAAATCTGGCATGATCTAATATGATCTAAATCTGATTAATTCTAAAATAAGTTAAACTAAACATAGCTAGTGGTGAGCCTCATTTCTATAAATTATACTTCGTAAGTTGTGGATGAGTAAAAAAAAAAATCATTTAAAAAAGGAATAGGAGCAAATTCAAAGAAAAAAAAGTAGGGAAAATGTGTTACATATAATTGACATATATTCTCTCTAATATCCCATAATATAGAGTCTATTTCATTTTATGTGTGTTATAAGACGTGCTGATAATTTGTACGTGAAAGTAATAATATAAATGAACTTAACATCATCTTTTGAGCACGCATAATTTGTACATGAAAGTAGCATAAGTGCATGCTTTTTACCTTTTGTTGTTCCATCACCTAATATATAAACACGATCCCTTGGAGGAGCTTTAAGCTCGGGCTGAAAGAAGGTTTGGATGCTAGTACGAGCAAAGTAGTATGAACAAACGACAGTGTAAGGGATATTTTCTTCTTCAATTACTCGACGTATTTGAGACTTAGCCTCAATCAAACTCTGAGCAGGTTCAACACCGCTAACTCTATCAACATCCATACCAAATTCTGATGGCAAGAATCTCTGAACGCACAAGCTAATAGTAAAATAGTGTAATATTGTATCATCAAATGTGATTGTTAGGGCCTTTTCTGTTCAACATAATTCCATTTCAGTTCAACTCCAATCAGTTCAGTTCAGTTCTTAATTTCCTTCTCTCATAAACAATTGATTTCAACTCGATTCAGTTCAGTTCAATTCAGTTCAGTCCACTTCATGCAGTTCAGCCCCAATCAGTTGAGTTCAGTTCAATTGTTTTCGGTAAATCGGAGGAGGCCCTAAGTCTTCTATATTTTCGGCCATTAATTTAATTTGTATGTGTGTGTATGTAGGATTGGACTTAAAAATGTGATTGTTAGTGTTTACAATACACCAACGCTCAAAAATTAAAAAGTGTTTAGTAAAAATAATTTAAATTAAAAAAAATAATAATTCTAGTTCAACAAAATAAGATGAAACGACATTAATATATATACCTTAATATTGCGGGACTCTTTGATAGCTGCAATAATCTTCCTTTGATCTTGTATAAGTATGTTAGAATGAGAACGATGTCCAACGGTTGATATTACCACATCCACTTTTTTCATTGCTCTTAAAAGGCTTTCATGATCATAAATGTCTCCCTACATGCATGCATATTGTTACTCTTAGAATATACTACGCAGTACATCAGTAGATTGTACAGTACTATACAATTACAATGAAATACTACGTATTTAAATAAACTTGCTTGGTGAGTTGATAGGAAACTCACTTTATTACTTTGAGGTCACGATTTTTAATCCCAACAACTACATTTGATTTGAAGTAGGGGGAATCCCTTGCTCCCCCCTTTACTTTCAAGTGTTGACCTACGGAGGTATATTGACTCTCTTGTGAGAGGTATCGGAACTCACTAAGGTCCTTCATCTTGCCTTAAAATTTGAAGCTACTATATGTTTTTTGAACTAGATTATTTTATCTTGCCTTAAAATTTGAAGCTACTATATGTTTTTTGAACTAGATTATTTTAGTAGCGTATAATTTTCTTTTAAGCAAGGGCCCTTATTTCTAATTCTGCCTGTGGACTATAAAATGTCATAAACAACCCTGTGTAGGAGTAACTAAAACGAGATGGAAGTACAAGATATTAATTAGCTAAGAATTTTGACTTACAACGAGAACTTCGACATCATTATGGCTCTTAAAATACTCTTGCGTATCCACTTTAGAGAAGGTTTCTTCTCGAACAAGAGCAAAAGTTTGGTGTCCACTCTTAACACTTGCTTCGACGATGAATTTTCCAATGCATCCCGTTGCTCCGATGATCAATACTTTGCTCTTTGATGCCATTGTTTTAGAGGATGAAGGACAGAAGCAACTAGCTAGAAATCAAAGTAACTAGTTAAATGGCCTTTATCTTTGAGCTTTGGTGTACACATATAGTAGATACGTAGTAGTAGTAACGCTACTAACTGTGACCGTACCCTTTTTTAAAAATTTAAATTACTAATGTAACCTTTTGTATCATTTGTATATGTAGTCTCTGTCTTTTCTGCTTTGAAGGTAAGATATGCGTGGACTTGTAAGCTTTAGGACCCATAAAACATTTTTCATATGCAAAGTTAGTGCTATTGTACTAATGTCAAATGTTTGTCAATGATCTAATGTCCTTCGGCCTGGATTAGTAATGACTTTTCAAATCATACTTGTATAATTATCTTCACTAACTTTCATGTGGCCAGCCACATATTTTATTTAATTTTTTTTTTTTTTGAAAGAATGGTTAGGTTACTTAAGTTTAGTCATAGCTTACTCGGATAGTTAAGGGCGATTACTCACTCGATCAATCAAAGGTTATTCAGTTATTCAGGATTTACTTGATTGGTCAGAGATTACTCAATTTGTCCAGGGTTACTTGATCTGGGGTTACTGGTCGGTCAGGGGTTACTAGTGTGCTGTTAGCTGGCTACACGGCCACACACAAACCTCCCGAATTATTGTGGTGTGAGTGTAAAGGATAATGATATTAGCAATATCATTGTCCCTTTATTTACTCCTTGAGGTACACAATTAGGTTGATTGTCAAAGATTTTCCTAACTATTGTCTAAGGTACTCAAACATATACTTTAATGTATCTAATCATATTCTAATGCTTACTTACGTACTAATCAAATTTTCTAACATTCTCTTTTTAATACTTTACATGATATAATCGTATTTTAAATAATTTAGTCAGATAATATAGTCAAATGATATAATAAACCATCAGGAGCAAGAGCTTTCTTGTAGGTACACTCATGGAAGGTTCTTACAATTGGCATAGATTTGTGGTTCTTAGTGTTGTGACTATTGAGAATATGGTGATTAGTGGATTGTGGACTCAATGATTATGAAGAGCTAATACACACGAGTGCCTCGCCGTGTTGGAAGGTTATAGAGGGCCCGTAACATGCTTGCTTGCTTTTTAATTTAACAAAACTACAAAAGGACAAGTTTGCATTGCATTGAAACATAATAATTGAAACTTTAAAACTTCAGTACTAGAACTCCTAAAAAAACAAGCTACAAAACCTTTTAAAAAAAAAAAAACATCTTCGGATTATAATTAATACTACCTTCGATATTTATTACTTGCAACCGCGGGTTGTTATTTGTGAGATATAAAATTATTTCAAAGTTGCAAATAATAAAAAGGAAAAATTGCTCCCATCTGAACTTTGCCTCGTCCGTCCAAATTAATCCCAACTTTCGTTTATTATCTATCACTCCCAATTTTAGGGGGTATTAATTTCTATTGCACTCAACCGGTCATCTAACCTGATATAGCAAGTCACCAGACACGTGTCCTCACGTGATAGGTCCAAAAAAAATTAAAAAAAAAAACAAAAATTAAAAAAAATTAAAAAAATTACCAAACCCAGCCCCCACCCCTATCCCGGTAAACACCCCTCCCCCACCCCCAAAAAACTCTCCACCGCTGCCGGAAAACGGCGCCCACCACTCCCCCGCCCTGAAAAACCCACCTAATCTTCCCCATCCCTGTTCTCGTTGCACCTATTATTAGCAATCACCACCGCAATCACCACCGCAATCAACCCTTCTCACGACCACCGCACCACCTCTGCTCCCAACCATCGACACCAAAATCACCACAAATCGCGCGCAACTGCCCCAATTAGCAACCCACTGCTTCACCATGACCCGCAACCGCCCTCAACAAGTGCTCAACAATTCGAACAGAGCAACCCATGTTCGTCGCGAGCGCGGCCTCTGCCACCGTGGGGGTTCCGTTCCTTTCCCCTACTTTGGTGCGTGAGAGAAGAGAGATGGTGGGGGTATGGGGCTGTTGCTTTGGGTGGCCGGTGCTCCGGGGGAAGGGGGTGGCTGGCTGCGGGCTGCCGTTGGGTATTGGGTGGTTTAGTATAGTTTTTTTTTACTTTTGAACCAATCAGGCTGCGACACGTGTGCAACTAATGACAAGTCAGCAAAATTGACCTCTTCAATCGGTTCCAAGTCAGTTGGGTGCAATAAAAATTAATACCCCCTAAAGTTGGGAGTGATAGATAATAAACGAAAGTTGGGATTAATTTGGGCGGACGAGGCAAAGTTCAGATTAATGGGAGCAATTTTTCCTAATAATAAAAATCGGAGGTAGTATAAGGAAGACATGCTTTTAGACTTTTAGTGACCACACTCTTTGGTCAATAACCTTAGTTTTATACAAATTGATTGAGAAACTCATCCACGGTTGTGTATTTCAACTCAGGATATAGTGTTGTGGCTTCCAAACCGAAAGATGGTTTGATTTCAAAATTGCATTGGTCTCCTTTCACAAAAACTGAGTAAGCAACTGATAGTATCATTTTCATCAATGCATCTGTTTCATCTGTGAATAAGGAAAAAATTCAAGTTAGCTATAAACTTTTTTTTATGGATAACCAAATGTTAAATCGTAATCATTAACAACATTAGCACAATTTTAAAGAGGGGGGGGGGATTGGGTTAAAAGAAATTTATATACGTTCAAGTCTGAGTTGCACCCACCAACCAAATAGTATTTTCTAATTTCTACTTAGGTCCCGTTTGATTTGATGTTTAACATTTTCAATCAAGGAAAAGCACAATTGTAAATTATTTTTTTTGTTTGGTTGTATACAAGAGAAGTTCAAGAAATATAAAAAAAAAATATGAGTGAGTATGTGAGGGAAGTAATAAGGAGGTAAAGAGGATGGAGTAAAATGTGGCTTCCTTGTTTTGTAAAAGAAAATGTTTTCCATCATTAAAAATGCAATTTTCCACCATGAGAAAACTGTTTTCCACACCTTCACAAACTAATCGAAGGAAAATAGGAAAATTATTTTACATGAAAACATTTTACATTAAACCAAACAGGTAGTTAATATATTTTCTGTCAATATAAGGGTTTGTTCTCTTACGTTGAAATTCAGTTCAGTTCAGTTTAGTTCAGTTCAGCTCCTAATTTCCTTCTCTTATAAAATATTCATTTCAGTTCAGTTCGGTTCAGCTCAATTTAGTTCAGTTCATTTCAGCTGAGTTTAGTCAATGAGAACAGACCCTAATTTTTTTTAAAAAAAAATTAAATAAGTATAAAACAATTCTTGGGTGTACCTACCTCTATTTACAGACAAGTGTATATAAAAAGTGCTAAAATTGCGTTGGGGTCCAATTAAATAAGTTCTACTCCATAACAAAATTGAAATACTTTAGGAAAAAGGTATATCATGAACTGACCTCGAATATTCTTAAGAAGTTGTTCCTCTGTGACATATATCCTTTCAAGGTTGTTGCCAATTTTATTCTCCCATAAAGACACAAGCTCGTTGAAAGAGTAGATGTTTGCTGAGGGTCTAATGTAAAGGATCTTGTTTAAGGTCCTTGGATCATCCATTGCTTTGATAGTATACATGGCAATATCTTCTTCCATGTTGAAAATTCCTGTATTATTGTCAAAGTAAATAATGATATAATCATCAAGTTACTATTATATGCTAATTAAATTACTAATCAATGTAATAAGACTAAAAAAAAAAAAAAACATAACAAAATAATGAACCAACATCTTATTTATGTGTAACAATAGTATTACGGAATGAAATTAGTATGTGTAGAGAGCTAAATGGCAAGTGATGAGAATCGATCCATCCTAGGATCCCCTAGAGGTGGGGGAAGCTCTAACCAGTTGAATTATTCTTCAGTGTTATAAAAATAATATGTATACAATGTATAAGTACTTATAAAGCGAATATAATTTGATTAATCTATTCACAATAAGATGTGATCTAACCTTTTTTTTTTCATAAGGTTACAAGATGAATCCTCAACCAACTACACCAAGCTTTAAGATGTAATGAACTTAACATCATGTGATCTATTGAGCACGCAAACAGTTTGTACGTGAAGTTACGAATGCTCTTTACCTCTTGGAGTTCCATCGCCTAATATATGAACAAGATCTCTTGGAGGAGCTTCAAGATCAGGATGTTGGAATAAATTTTGGATGCAAGTACGAGCAAAGTAGTTTGCACAAACGATAGTGTAAGGGATTTTTTCTTCTTCAATTACTCGTCGTAGTTTAGACTTAGCCTCGAACAAACTCTTAGCTGCATCGACAGCGTGAACTCTATCAACATCCATACCAAATTCTGATGGCAAGAATCGCTGAAAACATATGCAAGAAAATTAAGTGTATAAAAAAATCTATGAAGTACATATATATACACTTTAATTTAATTTTTTGGACTTTTTTTTTTTTTTTAAAGCCAATTTTTTGGACTTTGTAGGTACAAGTATATCTATATACTACCTCCGGTTCATTTTAGTCGCAACAAAGGACAAGTTTACGTAAACCAAGGCAAAAGATTGAAAGCATGATTATGGAAAAATAAGGGTACATGCTTAACTATTAATCCAACCCCAAACAAAAAAAAAATAAAAAAAAAAATAACCTTAAACAGTAACCCACCACCACCACCACTACTGACACCACCAAGCATCACCTAAACCACCCACCACCACCATCCTGCATCACTGTAACCATCCACCACCACCCCCACGCACCTAGAAACCCACGAACCCAGCACCACGGTCGCTGATCTGCAACCACGAAATCCACTACAACGCCGCACCCAGAAACCCACGAACCTAGCACCACCAACCCAGCAAACCCACGAAACCAACCCAGCACCACGGCCGCCGATCTGATCTACAACCACAAAACCCACCACAACAACGTCGTACCCAGAAACCCACGAACCTAGCACCACCAACCCAGCAAACCCACGAATCAAACCCACTACCGTTGCTGATCTGAAACCCAAGAATCAAACCCGCAAACCAAACCGCCGATCTGCAACCCACGACGCCGCCGATCTACAACCCCCGCCGCTTGTAACACCATGAAGCCACCATGAAAATGGGGTTGGAGGAGGAGAGAGAATATTAAATTGGATGAGAGTTTAATTAATTAAGATTGGGGTTTAATTTAATGAAATCAGATTCGTAATTTAATAAGGGTGTTTAAGAAAAAAAGTAAGGGCATATATGTCATTTTACAGGCCAAAAGTTACCAAATAAGGAAAAAAAATATTGTGTTGCAAGTAATTTGAACCACCCCAAAATGAAAATTGTTGCAACTAAATTGAACTAGAGGTAGTATGTTTAATTAATATTACTTTTTTTTTTATCTATAAGAAGGGAGGGCCCCTATCCTATCACATGAATAGTTAGAATGGGGAATCGAACCCCCATCACTTGGAGGGTAACCATTTCTCCATCTCCTAAATCCCCGAACAAGTATGTGTGTATGTATAGGCCATATGTATATATGTGACTTTTAATCTACTCCGTATTATACATACTTAGCTAGGTTGGAAAAGTCTAAATCATCAACCAAACAAAAAATACTAATTGACCAAGTTTTAATTAGTAGCGAGCTATATCATCTTTTTAGTTAAAGATACATCCATCGTTCATATCAGTTTATCCCTTTGTATTTTTATAAGAAATAACATAATCAATCTTATTCAGTTATTGACTTCATATTAATGTCTACTTTTTAAATTTGTATGTATACATTTTTATAGAAAAAATTTGCAAAAATGTACAACGGATTTAAAAATAGTTATGTTTTACGGATTTAAAAATAGTTATGTTTTACATGTGTTAAAGATGGTACGTGAAAAGTCAAATAGGATAAACAAGGACAAAAGGAGTGTGTCAAGAAATAAAAGCGATCTAATAAATGACATACCTTGATGTTATTAGACTTTTTGATGGCTGCTATAATCTTCCTTTGATCATGGATAAGTATGTTAGAGTGATCATAACGATGACCAACCGTTGATATCACTACATCCACTTTCTCCATTGCTCTCAAAAGGCTTTTATGATCATAAATGTCTCCCTACATTGTGACAAAGATTAAAAATGTACTTTTCTTCATAGAAAAATAATGTTAAGATTTTCTTCCTCCATATGCAATTTTTATTTAAAGGTGAGCAAGAGGATGTCGGTTAGACCTCAACTTTCACGACTTTAAAGTTGTGAGTTATGCACTTGAAAGGAAGGGGGGAGGGTAAGGGGTCCTCACTTTCAAATATATCGTAGTTGGATGATTCGACCTTAGCTTGTGATCAAATTGTTACAATGTGAATTCCCAATCAAATATACCAAACATTGCTGAGAAAATCCAAGTTTATAGCCTTGATAAACATGGGCTGCTTATCTCATGCTTGGAATCCGCACTAGCAGATTAAATAATACTTCACATAATTTGTACTGTTTTACTACTATTTGGGTACTACTTTCTCCGTTCTTTTTAACTTGATCCGCTTTGACTTTTACACTATTCATCACCCTTTCTTTGACCGTCTTTTGTAAATAATATGCAATGAAAAATATATTCATGTAAGATCTTTTTGAATTCGACTCAATAAGTACTATCATAATATGTAAATTTTAAAATTTTTACTTATAGAAAATTAAACTTATTGATCGTTAAAGTTTTTCATTGGCAAGCGTGATAAAAGAAACAGGTCAAGTAAAAAAAAAAACAGAGGAAGTATGTACTATTGTTTGGGTATTGTTTGCTATGTGGACATTTGCTATTGTAGCCTTTGTAGGCGGATGTTTGCTGGACAAAGGTTATAGTTATACTACCTCCGTTTCTTATTATGTACAACGAAGGGATAAAGTGTTCCTTTGTTACACATAATAAGAAACAAAGGTAGTAATATAAATACCCCTGCCTCGTGACTTGAAATGACCACATTATTAAGATACTATACACATTTTTTTTTGTTTAACAATGCAAGGTTATAAGCCTGGGCAACCTCGAACTTCAAGCTTGCTTGGTTTCTTCATATGCAATTAGTTGCAAATATATAAGTATAGAAGTGGTAAAAATACAACTAAAATGAGATGGAAGTAGAAGAAATGAAGTTAAGAAATTTGACGTACAATGAGAACATTGACACCAAGGCTATGAAAATACTCTTGCGTATCCACTTTAGAGAAGGTTTCTTCCCGGACAAGAGCAAAAGTTTGGTGTCCGTTCTTGACACTTGCTTCGGCGATGAATTTTCCGATGTATCCCGTTGCTCCGATGATCAATACTTTGCTCTTGGATGCCATTGATTAAGAGAAGGAAGATATGAAACTACTAGAAATCAAAAAATTGGTCTTAAGCTTTGGTGTACGTAGTGAATAACTGAATATACATAATAGTAACGTTACTAATTTATGATATTTGTATATGTACTCTTTGAAGGGTAAGATATGCGTGGTTTTCCATGCTTTAGGGCCCATGCAATTATCTTACATGTGCTCAATTTAGTACTATTTGTATTCATGACATTGCTTGACAGTATTCTTATTACGTCCTTTGATAATTGATAATTGTCATGTAAGGCATGTTGTCATTGAATGAAATAAGCTGAACTGAACTGAACTTATTAGAGCTGAACTGAATATTTTATAAGAGAAGGAAATTAGAAACTGAACTGAACTTATTAGAGCTGAACTGAATTGAAAATAATCGTATGAGAACAGGCCCGTTATTTTACGTACTCCATGTGATAAATTAAGTATTACGTCGTATTGTACATACAAAATGACAATAATCTAGTGTCCTCTGGTTAGGACAATTGCTTGACAATAATTCAGTGTTCTTTGGATTACTAATGAGAGTACGCAAATTCTTCAATAAGATGACTTTCATTAACTTTTTAAAGGTGAGTATTATTACATCAATCGTATTAGCCTTTATACATGTATTAGATTAATTAATTGTATTAGCCTTTGAGAAACATAAACATTTTACACAATCAAACTCATTACAAATTAGAAATTATCCTTAAATGAGTTAAAGTTAACAAAAAAATTGTTACTGTTACCCTTGAATCAATTGTCTTTCAATAAATTTAATGAAAAGTATGTCTTATACATAAGACTGATTGATGAGAGTAATGAAAATTGCTTAACAATATATAATCTATATATTGAGTTTGCCCCATTCGGTTTATCGGAGCTTAGCTTCAACTACATCCGGATCCGACCCGGGTTACACACCTTGGCTTATGGTGGGTAAGTCTCCCAATAAGAATTTAGATTCGGTGAAGTTCAAACTTGAACCTCCCTTAAAGCGACATCAAGTTGTTTACCACTTGAGCCAACTCTCGTTGGTAACAATATAATTTGTTGTCTTTTGGATAATTGTCAAACAACTGTCCTATAAATCCAATTCAAATAAAAAAAATAAAAAATAAAAAGTTTCTTGAGGAATACGAGTTTGGTGGGATGTAATTTACCATATATATGTAAGAGTTTTTACATATGTAGTATTAATTTTCTTGTGGTTATTTTTCATTCTCAAAAACTCACCATGTGTAAGACAAACAATTTAGACATTGTTTGATTTATCTATTTATTTCAGGATCTTATTTATTATTTCAGACCAAATCAAATAAAAAAGATCTTAAATTGAAAGATACAAGTTATATACTAGTCCCCCTTTTTTTTTCTTTCATTATATACAAGTTCCTTTAGTTCAGACAAAATAATATAAGCTCATTTAGTTTAAAGCCTTCAATATAATTTGAAACAAACCACTATATATACTAGGAATATACTAGGACATTCTAACAAACAATCAGATGAACCAAATTGATTCTAAATACTCCGTAAACGTTAAGCATAATTTGTAAGGATGAAGATTTGGTCTCTGATATGAGATGGGACTTGAACTAGGACTAGGGATATTCCTGCTCAACAGTGAATGAGAGTGGTTTTATGGCTTATAATGCATGGCAGAATTCTGGCTAATGCCAAAAGACTAAAATACCAAGTTACAGAAGATCTCCCGTTGCCAAATTTGTGATGAAACAGCACTACATCTGGTAAGTAGTTGCCCTGCAGCTCGCCGAGCTTGGTTACTAGTGGGGGGTATGCTGCACTGCTGCAGAGTGCATACATGACTGAGTGTAGGAGTGGGAACCTGCAGCAATGGTTGGAAAGGAATTTGGCCCACATGCTACACTGTAAGTGTTGGTGGACCATCTCAACCAAAAACTTAAGCTGATGGTTGAGGCCCAAAAATATGTTTTACTCTATCAGTAAGGACTTGGTGGTTGTGGAGTTGGCGTTATTGGCTTATTGCAAGGCGATTTGGTAGATTAGAGGAAATGTTTCACCCGCTGGCCTTTGGACTTTGGTTGATTTGAGCTAAATACTTATGGAGCAGTGAGGGGATCTCCGGGTTTGGCAGGAGAAAACAGCATCATTTGTGATCATATGGGTACATCAGACCATCATTTTCCACTGTGTTTGGCATTTGTACCTCTTATATGGCTGAATTCATAGCAGTCTCTAGGCTGATAGGAGCAGCAAATGAGAAAATCTTGCTGAAGGATATTTAACAGGGAGGCAACAGGCAAGTGCCGGAATTCAATTGCAAAAACAGATTGGGAGGTGACTTTAGTCCATTGCTATCATAAAGGAGATAGAGCAGTGGATTGGTAAGCAACTACGGGTTTTGTCTAATGTTTACCAAAGCTGAGCAAGATCATAGAAGATGACATTACAAGGGTGGCTTAGCCACACGTAGTTGTTACTTAATACGAAGCATCTTTTGTTTTGTTTGTTGGGCCTGTGCCCCCTCAGTAGCAGCCAAAAAAAGAGGGGTTTCCTGCATGAATCTTTAGAGGCAAAAATGTAATCAAGACAGTGAACGTAAACTCGCAAGAAATGAATCAGAAGTTCAATATAGAGGATAAGTAGATCCCAGATCACATATTCATATCAAGACGTGTGTAAAGCCAATGTATACAAAACTAGAGTACATTGTGCAAAACTAACACTCTCAAGTTATTTGACTAACTAGCTCATATACTGAGCAATTGATCAAAACTTCAGCAAAAATGCAACTATTTCAGTGCACCTGCATGATGACCTAAGTAAATTAAGTAGATAAGTATATATACATTATCTTTTGTCGAAACTTTAGAATGTGTTTTCAACAACACCGAAATCTGACTGGTAGGATTCACATTGCGCTAATAAATCAGAAGATTCAGAGTCTCTTGTTGCAGCAAAGTTCATGCCATTATGAACATATTCAGGCGATAATGCAGGAACATATTCTTGTTAATTTTCATTCACCTGGTTAAACATCATGTATGCTACAGCTCTGTCGATTACATTGGTTTCTGATTCAGGTATCTCCATTGTTCTTGATCTGGAAGCCGCCATTTGTAAGAAATGAACTGTCAGAAAAATACTCAGAAAAGACATGATATCTACTTATTTAAATATTTTACTACTTAATGGGCATTTGGTATTTTAAATTTAAGTTTGGTTAGCCAACAAGATGACCTGGTCTTACACTCTTACATGTCCAAGTGGATTGGAAAATCGACTTGTGGTCTCAACAAAGGACCAATACCACAACTCTATGCGTTCTGTTGGCCTTTTGTGTGCACATACATAGCAGTGAGGGACTAAAGGTTCATTTATAAGATAAATTATACTCGACTTTCTTCCAAGCAAATCCTTGCCAACTTAGGCATCGAAGGGAGTTTTCCTCAATCTCACCCCCAAGGATAGCTGTGTACATCTTGCAGGTCATTACATTTAAAAACGATAAAAACAGGTTTTTCAAAAACTGAAAACACTATTCAGCCTACCAATTTTCTCAAATGAGATATAACACATGAATAAAATATGATCCTACACAACCATTTCTTCCAATATTTTCTTCATATTTGTTATCATTTAGCAAAAAACTATAAATTAGAGCATAAGTGAAGCAAAACCTTCTTAGCAGTAACAATGACACCAAACTAACTTAAGACTCAATTCAGTACTCCTTTTGTTACTAAATAATAGGCCACATTTGATTTTAGGGTCACTTTTAATAAATTCAATTAACATCCTTCGATATTTAAACTTGCAGGATTGTAAGTACCTTGAGCACTCATCACTAGTTTCAGGCATTGAAGGTTCATCTTCCATAGCATTATTTGATGTCTGCTGCTCTGAGTGTTCAGCAAGTCGGTACATGGAATCTCGAAGGCAAATTCGAGTCTCATCACTCAACTAGAAGAAAAAGTAGTCCACGTATTAGCAGCCACAGAACATAAATAAATACATGAATTAAAAAACAGAACACTAATGCTGTGATGGTGTTGGTTTTGTATGAGTTAACCCACCTGGTTTAGGACATTCTCAAGCCCCATCAGCACCGATTCTTCAATTGACGACAAATCATTAGCCTCTAATTTCCTTGTCTTCATTTGTTCTTCATGGTTAGACGGAACCCGGTCCCTAGTCTCCGGTACCTCAAAAAATAAATATGAATTAATACCAGCAAAACACCAAACCGAAACAAATGGTTCATAACCTGTAATATGAACTGATTCAAACTTTCTGTTTGCCTTAACTATTTTTTTTATTATAACTTTTCCTCCTCATGCCAAATCAACAGATTCCTTATTAAAAATTGATTAAGCCAATCTAACAGTAACCAGGAAAGGCAACATGGTAGGTTATCAACTTATCATCATGTACATGAAAAACATCTTAAAGCATTAGTTTAGACAGCATCTCACCTCTACTGATGGACAGCTACTGCGGCCTGAGTTGTTTCGAGAACTAAGTTTAGATGCCTGTGAATATTCATTATATGAGCTTTGTGAACAAGAGAGGTTGGGATCAGTGAAGCACTTCAAATTTCCCTCTCCATCTGTATCACAAGACATACTCTGAAATTCCATCATTTTGTTCGTTGAACCGCTTTCAGATGGCATTCCAATGTAGAGAGATTGCAGTGGGAGGACATCATCTTCAAGCAAGGAGCTCCTATACAAATCAAAACATAAACAAAAGGGTGAGAAAATCAAGAGAATACAAAGCTAGTATGGTCAAAATCTAATGTAGATGAATAAAAATTGATTGCCTACTGCACTTGGACATCCCATACAAATTGAAACTTTCTTCCATAAAACAGCAAAGTTTTTCCAACTTCAATGGGATATCCAAATTTCCTTTCTTAGTTTTGAGTAGGTTAGATGAAGAACCCAAGTGGACCTAACCCCTCAAAGGTCGACTCAGTCTATACCTAGCCTTTGCAGGTCAAGCACTTGGGAGCTGGGGGGGAAGGGTAAGAGGAAACACCACCCTCAACTCTCCAAGAACCGTAGTTAGCAAGGCTCGAACCTGTCAATGCTGAAGGTTGAAATCCTGCCAACTACACCAAGCAAGCTTGGTCTCCATACTTAGCTCATAGGAAAATGTAAAGTATTGACAAATTTCTACTATTGCTACATGATTTCCTACATGCATTAAAGCAAGTATGTTAAACTCCAGAAGCCTGTACAAGAATATGTCATCCGCTGAATCAGTCTCTGCGAGGTCATTGAAGTAGTAATCAGAACGAGCACAAGCAGCAGAAGCTCTACGAAGAAAATGAGGATCTTCGGATGATCTAAAATTGCTCGAGTCATGAGACTGAACTCCATTAATCTCTTTGTTGCCAGTTCTACCAAACAACGTTTGTTGCTGAGGTTTTGCATTCGCAAAGTTACCTGAATCAAAGGTGTTTGGCCATCCAGAGTTCCCTCCTATTCCACGAGTTTCCCATTGTGACTGTTGATAAGTATATTAGGTGACTCGTACTTCGTAGCTTTGTCCGCCCGATCGGGCGGACATTGCCCGGTCTGACCGGGCGGAAGAAGAAGAGGTGCCTGGCAAATTCGTTGAAGAAGCTGCTCTCGCGCCCGACCGGGCGAGCCTTCGCCCGACCGGGCGAGCCTTCGCCCGATCGGGCAGACCTTGCCCGGTCTGACCGGGCGGTGGGGGTTGGATACGTTGAAGCATTCGTATGGAGTTTTCTTCTCGCGCCCGATCGGGCAGACCTTGCCCGGTCTGACCGGGCGGAGAAGGAAAAATACGGAACGCGGATTTTGCGGTTTTAGGTTATCTTATTTTATTATCTTTTTGCCCAAGTATCTTTTAATTAGGGATTAATATAAAACCTCCCTAAAATCAGTATTAGGGTGAAGAGAGACAGAGTGAGAGCCGTTCTTGAGAAATACAAGAATCATCTTTGTAATCTTTGCAGTTTATAGTGAAATCATTCGATCTCGGTGCCCGTGGACGTAGCTATCACATCGATAGTGAACCACGTAAATTCTTGGTGTTGTTCTTATTGTTTGCATTGAATTTCTTTATTGTTTTCTTGTTTGTTTTCGACCTTTGCTTCCGCTGTCGCACACCAACTATCAGGCGATGGAAGCCTGTCAAGGTACTCTTGATCTCTTTGAACAACGAGATCACCATCATTTGCATAATACCATTCTGTCATAGTTACCTGAAGAAAATTTAAAGCAACACAGAAATTGTTAAGTAAATATTTTCAAGTAGCAATATTTTAGCATCATAATAACTCTATAAATATCTTTGTTGTAATATGATTGGAATCCTCCATAGATCATATTTGACTTGGAGATCAAACTTGTTAGATTGTCAATCTCTTAAATTTGTGTTATGACTTTATAGATTTGTAGTGCGATGAAAAAACATACAGATGTTAGGAGAAAATACAACTACTATACACAAGGTATGATTCATTTAAGTACTAAAGTTGAGAAGATATTGAAGATATATTAGTTTTATACTCCCTCCGTTCTAAAGTACATGCAATATCAAAAAGTGCCCATGTAATTAAAAAGTGAAATAGAGAGAAACCTCTAGCCGAAAAATACAAATGTTGCAAATACTATCAAACTTCCATGAAAGAAAGTGTTGCAAGTAATTTAGAACAGGGAATGATTTATGTTAGTATCAAAGAACGTAATATCTCGATCTAGAATTAAAAGTAACACAATCACGGATATTATTTTGAGGTGCCCGAAAAAATTCCTTACTTTACCCAAGTACAATTAGATTGTTCTAGGTATTCCTAACATACTGCCCACTTATAAAGAGAGAAGAAAGTTATTAAATTGTTTAGAAAAAAGAGAGAAGCAGTGAGTCTGCAGTCTGCATCATTGCATATAGCCCAAGCTTCAAGCCATTTTTGGTAAAATACAATTAGAATATCATGTGCCGCTTTCTTTCAGCCCTCATACCTTATCTTCACCGTCACCGCCACCGCCACCGATTCAACTGTCTAGGATTTCCTACTGCACACATTTTTTTCCTCCTCCCTAATTCATTCAAGCTTTTACTCTAAGCTATATTAAAAGTGAAGATGGATTTGGTCCCCTCTCCCCCTTCTATTATAAAAACATAACACGTGAAATGTCGGGCAAAACTGAGGTGTTCTAATACTCCATCCGTCTCATTTTATTTGCCCCGTCAAACTTAAAAGTTTTGAATTCGGAAATAGGGGTTGAACAACTCATAGTAAGTAAATCAGAGGAGTGCTTTATTTTTTTTTTCAGATCCAGCTCTGAATTAGCAGGAAGTTATTTTTTTTAACCAATCATAATCTGAGTTTAACATTGAGAGTATATTGTAAAAAATCAAAAAAAAAAAAAAAAAAAAAAAAAAAAAAAAAAAGAAGGTTTTAAGCAGATTACTGAGCTGATAAAATTGAGCTGACTTCTCATTGACTCATTGGAGAAATTTATGATACAGAAACAATAATTACTAGTTCTTGAAATCGAAGACAGTCAGATAAATGCTTTAAAAATATATTTAAATGAGAAAAAACATTATCATATCGAATTTTGTTAGATTTGTTTCAACGCGTATTTTATTAATGGTCTGGGTGTATGGCTGATTGACTGTATGTATGTATGTTTATATTGCTATTTGAAAATCATTCAAAACAGAGGAACAAATCAATTTTTTTTCAACAGATTCAGAAATTAAAAACCCAGAAAATTAAATTTATCATGTTCATTCAAATTTGCCATTTGTAGAAATTAGACTTAACACTTGTCATTAAGTTAAGCTAAATACTGAAATTTGAGGTGAACAAGAAAATTGAATTAAACTTGGTGATTTGAACTTGACTGTGATTAGATTATGTTAAATTCATTGAATTAACCTTCAAAATCCAGATTCATCACAGAAATCAATTGATGGGTTAATATAATCTTTCTTCACTCTTCTCTAAACTAGAACATCAGCTGAAATAATTTCTTAAACCCATTTAACATATAATCTAACCAGAAAATTTTTAGAACATCAAATCATCCTATCAAAATCATTTTTTAACTGACAATTCACAACAATTAAAATTGAACACTCAATCCCAACAGAGGGCGGGGTCGACTACATGAACCAAATATTTATCTCCTAAATCATTTTAACAAACAATTAGCAACAAATGACATTTAATTAAAATCAAATTAATGAAGAACATCAATCCCAAATGAACAGAGATTGACTACATGAACCAAAATTAATCGAATTATTTTTAACTCATTCCATCCAAATCATCTTTACAAACAATCAACAACAAATAAACAATAAAACCAAATCAACAAACAAACAAAAAAAAAAGTGAAAGAAATCTTACCTTTTAAAAGAGTAATCAAAGAAAATCACCCAAATGAAGAAGATTCAAGTAGAGATTGAAGAACCAACAACTTAAATTTATCAATAAAATATGAAAAACCCAAGTTAGAATTTTTGAGATAAAATATAAAACCCTTTGAAATTTGTATAAGTAAGCAAAAAAAAACTAGAGAAAACGAGGGAAGATATAAGAAGGAAGAAGAAAAAGGGCAGAAAGAAGGCAAGTTGTATTTGTTGGTCAGAAAAAATTTGTGGGTGAGAGAAGCCAATAAAATGACAGGAAAAATACAATAAACAAACCAAATCATATTTGTGGTTGAGAAAGCTTCTCATCAAATATTGAAAATCTATTGGTACACGTGTCATAAATGGGTCCTACATAATCAAATTTGTGGTTCACCTTGGTTTGTGGGACCCAATCAACAAGTACTAGGTTGTTATTTGTATCTCTCCTTAATACAGTCATAAGGATTAAGGAATATGCTTGCTTTTAGTTTAATCCCAAAATGGTTAGTGTGTGTGAAAGAGGATTGGAAAGACTTAAAAAAAAGTCAAAGATAAAAAAATGTGGGTTGAATTTATAATCAAAGTTTGATTTGTTTGAGGTATATGAAATTTAAAAATAGTTTGAAAGTATTCAAAGGGTTAAAAAGTAAATCAAATTCTTTATCAATATACGTTTATTAAGTAGCTCGTTGTAAGTTTTTAAATCGAAATATTGCAATTATGAAAATAAATATGAAGGGACTGTCAAATAATGTACTTCTCTTATCGTTTTCTAGTATTTGGTCAAATCTTTGAGAAAATTTAATGTAAATGTAAAAAGCTCTTGGTCTCATACATATCGTAGTGAATTAATGACTCCTTAATCCATATACTACCTAATCGTAATTCGTAAGTATGATTGCACTCTTGCATTAGCTGCATATGATGGTTGATTGTAGACATCACATATAGATCACTTTTCTTAAGCTTAGATATTTAGTACACAAATTAATAGTTATAGTCCTTTTGTTTTAAGGAGACATGCCCTTTGATTAAAAAATTGATCTTATAATTAATTAAATAAGCTATAAGCAAAAATAATGGTACTTGACTTGAAAGTCAAAAGAGGAGCTCAAACTCAAAGGCAAGCATGGCCCAATTACTTAATTTAAATTAAGAAATAAATAATCTAAAATTTAAAAATAAAATTAATTTAAAAAAAAAAGGCTCCTACAAACAGGCAACAGCTGGGACAACCAAATCAAATTTGTGGTGGACGTTGTGTGGATAGGGACCCACTAAGCGAGTACTTGAGGTTGATAATTGATGCTCTCATACAGTCATTCTTTTTTTTTTGAAAAACTCTCATACAGTCATTCTAGATATGCTTTGTTTTCTTTTTCTTTTTTTAAATTTCAAGCAATGCTATTCAAAAAAAAGTAGATGCTGAACTTTTAAATAATAGACTATTGTCTAAGGATATTAGAGGATATTACGAGTACAAGTGTGACATGTACAAATAAAGTTCATTTTTATAATTAGATGACACGTGGATGTATATATATTTTAAATCCTTATATAAAAAAATGTAAGACTCGTGGGTAGGGTCATTCATCGGTCTAAACCGGATTAGACCACATCGAATCGAAGACCGAAAAGTAGAATTTTAAGAAGCGAAAATCGGACCGATTAAGCTAAGACCAAACTCGAACCGGACCGAAAGAATCGGTCCAAAACCTGGACCGGACCGTTTTGGACCGATTTAAGAATTTTTTAATAATTTTATGGAAAACTCGAAAAAAGTAAAGGAAATCCACACTTTAACGTTTTTTTGGTATATTTAGTACAAAAAAGCTTATAAATTTAAAGTTTTCTAACCTTATAAAAGATAATCTTAACAATTATTTAAGGACTCACACGTATTTTTAATAAAAAAAATCGGTCCCGTCCAAGACCGAATTTTATAGGGTTTTGGACCGGATCGGAAAAATAAGTTTCCAGAACCGAAGACCGGACCGATTAATTCGGTCCGGTCCATTTTTTGGTCCGAACCGATTTATGAACACCCCTACCCGTGGGTGATTTCAGAGCATAATTAACCAAATTTATTCAGCTTGTAGTCATTAAAGATAGTGTAATTTTTGTAAAACACCAATGGTATTATATAATGTATTTTAAACACACAATAAATAAATAAATAAACTTTGGATTAAATAGTTGAAAAAAAAAACTTTTTTTAAAGGTGTTACACCACCATTTTGACAAGAAGAAATTCATAATCTACATCTTGTATCTTACCTTAAAAAAAATTTAAAAAATTTAATGTCTACTTATTAGTTTATTATTATGGGAATTTACAGAAGTTTAAGTGTAAATATATTACTCGCAATTCACTTGGTTTGAGTTGGCCTGGGTTACTCATAATGACTAACAAAGGTTGTTACTCAAATGGTAATGTGGTAAATATTTGCCTTGAAAAACGCGATTAATAATATTCTAATGCTAACGGTTTGTTGACGGAGTTTAGCACTGGGTTTACTAGTCGTCCAGGAGAGAAAAAGCAAAAGTTCACCGAGAAGCCCAACTAAGCAACCACGATCTCTGATTAATCGAAAGAAAGAGGAGAACCACGACCGGCAAAGCAACGATCTACGATTCTGCGTGAAAGGTTCACCAAGAAGCCCAACAAAGCAACGGAGTCGCCATCATGGTCAGGCGAAAACAACATCGAAGACGAATCTTTAGCTAGAAGGGTAACCACGAGCGACGGTGTACGAATTAGCAGGTGAATGGTAACAACAAGCCTAAGTCACCAGATCGCCATCATTATCTTCTTCCCCCACAACCATTTTCGGCGGATTTTCCGCTAAATTATACGAAAGCACTAAGAACAATTGGAGAATAGAATGAAAATGTTAACCCCAAATCGTAGGGGTGTTGTCTTCTTCCACTAAATTTCCCCATTGATGAACCTTGGTTGTGAGCTCTATTGAAAATCGCATCTTCTAAACACCGCAAAGCCTCTGTTTACTAACCCCACCCAAAATTAACATGTAAATAAAAAAATTTCTCTATTTTGCCCTTACTAATCCCACCTGACGAAATTACCAGCATGCCCTTTGAGTAACAATTCATGTTACTCAAATTGAGTAACTTGAATTTCCTCCTTGGTTTTCTATCACTTTGGAAGCAAAAACTTTGAAAAAAAAAAGTGTTTTTGTTACAAGTTGCACTTGATAATCTGGAATCTAGTAAACTTTAACTAATTCGGACTCAAGCCGAGTCAATCCCTAATTAAGGGAAAACTCTCCTAATAGTGTTGTATTCCCAAGTCTCAAACCCAAAATTTTGGTTAAGCTACAACAACTTCCTTGCCATCTAATCCAAGCACTAGTAGATTATTGTCCTATTTGCCCAACTTTATACTTACATAAATTTACCTTATTTGTGCAGCTTTATTCGTTTTTCATTTATTTCTTTGTAAAAACTAGATATTGCCAAAAAAAAAAAAACATTTTTAGTACAACACATACATTTAGGGCTGTACAAAGTGCGGTTTAGATCGCACCAAACCGCAAACCAAAACGCAATTTTACGGTTTGGTGCGATTTGCGGTTTGAAAATTGCGGTGTGGTTTTTTAAAATGATCAAACCGCGGTTTGCGGTTTGGTGCGGTTTCCAATTGCACCGCAAGTGCGGTTTGCGATTTTTATACTATATTTTCATTAAAATTATATAAAAGAACTAAAATATATGAGCTAATTTTTTACTATTAGTTAATTAAAGGTTAATAAAAAGAGTTATAAAATAAAAGTTTTGTTTTAAAAAGAATAATTACAATTTTAATAAAATACGATTAAACCGCAAACCGCACCGCACCAAACCGCATTTGGTGCAGTTTTTTTAAAAGTGCGGTTTGGTGCGGTTTGAAAAAATTACAAACCACACTTTTGCGGTTTGGTGGGTTTATGATCCAAACCGCACCAAACCGCACCGCGAACACCCCTACATACATTACTCCCTTAGACCTCAAGTATTGCCTCGATTTCTTTTTAGTTAATAGACTCTACCTATTTAGCAAGTATAATGTTGATAATTTCTCTAATTGTAAAGTGTTACATCCTGTAGTAAAGATCTAAATTACCTATCAACTCAATACAACTCTTAAAAAGACGAAAGTAGAGATAAGGAACAAACACTATGGATCGAGAAACTATTCATAGTGTATTAAAGTGTACACTTCCTTTTTTTTTTTTTTTTTTTTTTGAGGGGAAAGTGTACACTTCCTATGAATATTAAAAAGAGGGAAGTTAAGGCAGCTGATTAGAATAATAAGAACCATGACGGCACCTCTTCGAATAAACGTAGAAAGTGAGCAATGTCTTAAGAACACACGTCGTAGTGTCGCACATCAACACTGCAACACGCAGAATAAAATGAAACAGCAGCATAGTCAGTACTTTGTAGACACGAGTGTGTTAGCAATTGGCGCTTAGACAGTGGCTTCAGGAAACGTGGCAATCTGAATCTGAACCATCTGCCTTGGGAGATTAAAATAAGTGCTGCAGAAAAGTACTGAATGAATGAATGATAGCAGTTGCAGCATCAGACCCTGATATCATTCAGTACTTTTTCTGCAGCGCCACCTCCTGCTCTGCCTCGAGGGGCAGGGGAATGTGTCAGGACACGGATAACGAGCACTTTCTAAAAAAAAACTCATTATTAAGGCCACCGCATGTCTGGATGAAGTAAAAGAGGTCTTATAATAGAATCTGGACATATAGAGCAACATTTGTTGAGAGAGCTTTATCCTACTCAAGACCCGGTTCAGGCCGGATCTGAATTAGTTGACAAAAAGGTAAATGTAATTAAAAGTAAGGCGTTTTAATCATACAGAATATGAGATGATACAGTAAAAATTTGGAGGACAGAAGTATATCATATAATCAAACATAGTAAGAACAAAGTCTACTTATGATGGTAATTTTCTGCAAAGTCTACCCAGCTAAACAAGGATTAAACAACTATTACGGCTTTTACATGGGGTAGGAGACTAAATTTTGTAAATCTATCAACATCCAGGCCGGTCAAAGGCATAGCGCTTCAGCTCCTCACCCATTTATGATTTCTGCAAATTACAGGAGTATTTAGTTTTTCAGAGCGAAGGGTGATAGGTAAATTTAAGCACAGCTCTGCATACTTGTATGTAATGTTAATTCAACTTGCCTGCATGGGGAGATACAGCTTGAACTCTGGAGGAAGTTCTTCTTCTGAATAAAGGCGGTCCGAGAAATAAATCCGCCTCAGGCGACAGTTTGCATGGACTTGAACCCGCAGTGTCTCTACATAGTTGGTTCCATATGCTCGTTTGGTAAAATCAGCAAGATTTAACTGGATTTGATTCCATCCTTCATCCAACTTCAGAGGCATGGTGCATATGTAAGGCTTCACTCGAGTCAGTGACTGCATTATTACAAAAAAACAGTCAATGATTAGTACTACCTAGAGATCAAGGACAAAGGAAGTGAGACGTCAGTCGGAAGAAAACACAATAAATGTATTGCAAAAGCCAACAACGTGATCAGAGGTACGGAACAAGTTATAGCAACGCTGTCTTCAGGTCACTAAAAAATTAATTTCAAATATTGAAAAGATGCAGTGGACAATTTTCTCTGAACTGCCGGCAAATAAAGTTTGATACACTCCCTTTAATAGACTCAATTTCTAATTTAGGTGTTGTGCTCACTTTTAGCTTATTTTTATTTGGCAGCTCCATATACCATCTTGTCCAATTACCCCATAATATTACTCCTCCACACTCTCTTACATTTATTCACCCCGCCCGCCCGCCCACCCTTTTATTCCATCTCTCTTACCTTATTAACCGATTCTTACACCCACTCACATTTTCTAAACTTCTCTAAAACCAAGAGTATATGGTAACTGAAGCAAACTTTCAGAAACAGAGGAAGTAACAAAGTAAATAATTGCAAAAATATTGAATGCTCACAGTGTGCTCTATCAACGTCGTCAACCTTATCCTCACGCCCCTAAAAAGATTCCCAATGAGGTAATAATAGAGGGCTGGAATGCTGGAAGCCTTACTCCTAATTTAACAAAAAGGGTGGACCAACCAAGCACAGAGAACAATTCTATTTTTATTTTTTTATTTTATTACAGTACACCGTTTTTTTTTTTTCCAGGAAATAATTTGTCATACCAATAAAACTGTCATGTCTTGTTTTCAAAAGGCACACTTCTTTTAAATAACTTTTAGCCTTGACATGGTAAAGTGGGAAGATTTTTTACATTCTTACATAGAGATACATTGAAATCATTTGGTCTGGAGTTGCATGCATATCAGAAAATCAAATTGGCATCCTATTAGTATCATAAATTCATAATGAATCCATGTCTCTGATGGCTTCACAACAGGAAAAAGTTGCATCTTCCCCACATACAAATTGAAGTGTCAAACTATATCACTCATTAAGTAGAATCCAACAAGGAGCTATTATTTCCAGTAAGATGAACAATCATAAGAAAAACATAATTTGAACATAGTCGACAAATGAATACAAGACAATAAAATAATTTGATAGACTTACAGACTTGATAATTTGAAGCACGAAACCGACGCCTCACGTTCTTATCATCAAGGATTTGAATCTCGAAGGTGAAGTATTTCTTTAAATTCTTCACAATGATAACTAAGAATGGCAATTTTATACCAAGTGTTGCAGCTGGATCTACAGGACATGTAATATATGTCGACTGTATGTTTGATCCCACGATCTCAAGGACATTTGACTGAATATCATCATCCTTCGGACGCTTGATATGGCCATTAGAAACTGCAATTAGTCACATTCAAAACCTGTGAGAAACTTTCTTCAGCCACCTTCAATGGTAGAAGGGTGTCATTATAGAGCAATAGGGCATCACTATCTCTATTGTGTAAAGTTGTTCAAATCTGTGCTTAGATTAACTACTCCTCCCATCCCAATTTACTTCCCTCATAGTCATATGCAGGGATTTTATGCATATACAAAGATAAAGAGAAATAATAGGTGTGTATGGGACCCAAGAAATGGGGGAAGTAAATTGGGTTACCCCAAATAAGAAAATGTGACTAGTAATTTGGGGGGGAGAGAATACATGTTCACTTGTTACTGGGAAGGAATGAAGTGATAAAAAACGAATCTTTACTCCCTCCATCCTCAATTTAATCATCACACGGACAGGGTTTATGTGGTAACTGATAAGTTATAAAAGGCTGGCAGAAGAATTTTTTGATAAAATGTGAAAGGGTGTGGGACCCTAAATTGTGGTAGCGGAAAGAGAGAGGTAATAAAATATTAGTAGTTCATGCCATAAAAGAAAATATGACAATTAAATTGGAACAAATGTAAAAGGATAGTGTAAATATTAACAGAAGTACTATAAAAGCAGAAAAACTTTCAGAAACAACAAAATGCAATGCAGCATAGATATAAGATTGAGTACCATGTAGCTGCAAACAATGGACAGCCTTATTGATTTTACTCCAGATGAATTTTTCAATAATATACTCCATTTAAAAGTTTTCATCCTTTTTTTGAGACAGATAGCTCACCCATTCATGGTCTATAAAATTACATTGAAAATTCATGAAGCACATAAGAGCAGAAAGTAAACAATATAGAACGCTGATGCTTAATCGGATTTCAAGCAAAGGCCCAATCAAAGCAATAGAAACAGGGAACATAAAGCAGATTCCATTAACCAGAAAGCATGAATATACATATATTATTTCAGACACATAATACCTACATTTTTTCCCATTTATTTTAAAGAACCATGATACACCTACATAGTGAAACAAAACTAAACAAACCATGTCATTAATGTTGAGGCTCGTAGCATATAAGCTATAAGACTTGGGTCATCAGAAACATTATTTTGGATAAGGAGTATAATTTTCACAGGAAACATTGAACATACAAAGAGGACAAAATAAGTATTTAACCTCTGACATGATTCAATACAGTAATTAACATCATCTAGGGACAGAATTATAAACCGCCGACGAAAATCTGAGATTGCAGCGAGGAAAGGAAGATAAATTAATCTATCCTGTAATAACTCAAGCCTAGGACAGCTAAGTGTATGCCCTTGATGTATTTATGTATGTTATGCATAGTGTATGAGCCTATGAGTCCTTAATAAGGTGCCAAGGTATAACATTTGCTCTATAAGCTCCTGATAACCATGCGTCATATAGCACACAAGAAAGAGTCTTGATTAATAGGGAAAAAGATGGTACCCTCATCTCAGCCCCTCTACCAAACATCTTCTGACACTTCACACCATCAAATAACAACATAAGGATGAACAGTAAAGAGGGGAAGATTAGTGAATTGTTTGCCTAACACAGCTAGTTGCGCCCAATAAAGAGCTCAAAGACAACCAATAAAACTGCATAAGAAGCAGAGCTCCAACATAGATAATGGCCTTTCGAGTAGCCACACTTGCCAGTCCCATAATATATACACTAATGAATAAGGCTAAGTAAGATAATCTATGTACATTGGCAAAAACTAAAGGAGCTATAATCACCATCAATGAAGATGAAACAACAATCTGAAGCAACTTTTTAGCTTTTTACCTTTGGTTATATAATTTTAATACACAGTAAAAATATCGTTTCGATACAAACACAATCCTGTTTTCCATGGTATATCAAGAAGACAAGAATACCAACACCTTTGACATAAAAAGCCAGATACCACATTACAACATCGGTAAAACCTAATCGAGATTCAAGATTCGAGATTCTCAAATTGGGCAATTAGGTAACAGCAAAGTAGGCATCAATGCATCATCATACAAAAAAACTAAAGCTACATATTGGTTTCACTTAATAGTTATCATTTCCCAACAATTAAAAATAACACAAACATACTGCTTATAGCATAATCAAGAACAATATAAACATACCAAATCTCCCTCTTATACTTCTAAACTAAATCTCAATACTTCAAAAAACAAAAAATTAAAAAAATAATTACCTTCTTTATCCCATATTTGCAAAGGCTTGCTCCTGAACAATATACAAATTAAATAATGTATAAGAAAACCCAAAAATATACTTGTATATACTTATACACAAATAAAAGCAAAAAAATAATAAAATTCAATTGAAAATAATGAAAATATAGCATACCCAAGGCTGTATAAAATGGATAGAAATCCCGATTGGAAAGTATTCTTAAACATTGCTGAGTTTCACCAAATTGAAGCTGAAATTACGACAAAAATACAATTCAAGACAATATTAAAATTAAATTCATATGAAAAAGGAAATAGTTTTTAGCTAATTAAATTAAAATTACTGGAACGATAATCAAACGATTGTGAGAAGTATGAAACCCTAATTTGATCGTTGTACCTTATCGTAGCGGTTGGAGAACAGATGAGAGAGAATAAGCAACCGGAGTGGGAAAACTCTCAAAATGACGAGGGATTCTGGGTTTATTTGGGGAGTTGTTAGAAACCAGTACTCCCTACATGAATATGTACTTTTTTTTTATTTTTTTTTAGGGAAAACATTAGGAGGATTATATTAAATCACAAGGTCCGCTAAGGTTATAATGCATTGCGGAAAGTTGCTCATACAAACTAATTCAGCACAATTACGAAAATCCCACCTAGCTACGAGATGGGCCACCGTAGTACCTGCTCTATGTACATGAGACAAGCTAAACACATGAAAAGATTTACTAAGCCGAACAATATCATCATAAATCAAGCAAAGTGGGGAGCATCCATCCACGGGTTGTCGCACCTTGTTGACCACATTCACCGCATCACTTCGAGCCATACCTGTCAATACCCAAACGTAAAGCCAATTGGCAGCCATAACGAACCGCTGCTGTTTCAGGTACTTCAATGTTCAGGTTCATAACAGTCCTCTTGACAGCAACCCACAGCATAGTGCCATTCCAGTCCCTCGTCACCACCCCCAAACCCCCAGAAGTTCCATCACCTATGTGTGCATCGGCATTTATTTTTACAACACCCTGAGGAGGCCGAACCCACTTGCTAACAGCAGCAGGACAGCCTAAAGGTTTAAAGACTTTGGATGTATGCAACTTGTAATCATGCACCATTCTAATAAATCCAACAGAATCAAAATTAACATCAAGTGAGGCATTATCAAGTACACGTTTGTTTTTGCAAAACCAAATGGCCCACGCAATAGTCAATACATTCATGAGCTTCCCTTTGTCGACCTTTTCAGCCATCCAAAGTAACCATTATGTGAAAGGAACTTGACGAGGGGATTCTGCAATAATTGTGGCAAGGTCATTAACCACCCATACCTGCTGACTGTTGTATTTCTGCACATTCGAAAAAGAGCATGAGCATTCATTCCACCTCTAACCCACACCCACCACAAATCGCATCAGAGGCAATGTGTCTTCTGTGGAGTTCATGTTTTACAGCCAAGCAGACCAAGTAAAGTGGCACAACTTTGGAGGACCATCAATACCCCACATAAGATGCCAAACAATATCATTTGAGCTTCATGTATCATTCCTCATCTGGGCAGCCCCTAATTTTCCTAGCCAGTAGGCTGTTCTCGCAGAAAAAGCACCATGTTTTGCAGGCCACCAGAACTTAGAATCATTTGGCAGATTCAGAGCTAAAGGGATTTGCATAATGTGGTTGCATACCTCTTCTGGGAAAAATTGTTGCAGCACCTCCATCTTCCATTCACCACATTGTTGATCAATTAAATCAACAACTCGTAGCTCTGGGTCGAAATTGGTGTCATGAGTAGGAATCACATTTCCAGGGATCCAAGAGTCAAGCCACACCATAATATCCCTTCCATTCCCTAACCTCCAACTAAGACCATCCAAAAGCAGAGCCTTGTTGCCCCATAAGCTCCTCCATGAGTATGATGGGTCATGACCACAGTAAGCCTCCAAAATTGAGCTATTTTTGAAGTATGGGGCCTTGAGTATTGCATGGAGTAACGGATTTGGGTTGTTGTAGAGTCTCCACATTTGTTTAGCTAGGAGGGCTTGATTAAACATTTAGAGATCTCTAAATCTCAAACCCCCCATCGATTTTGGTTTTACACAAAGAGTCCCAACTGTGCCAATGCATTTTCTTCGTAATCTCTGTAATCCCCCATAGTATGAATTATTTTGATGTAAAAGTAATAAGATTAATTATTAAGTTTTAATTTAAATCATAAATCTTTTTAAGTTAGTAGTCCAGTGCTTAAATTCTACTCAAGCCCAAACAAAAATACAAAACCCTCACCTCTCTTCCTCTCTTTCACGTGAAATTGAAAAAAAAAAACAAAAAACAAAACCAAACCCACAACTTCTTCTCCTCCCTCAATTCTCACGGGAAAAAAAAAAGAGAGAAAGAAGCCTAGCCACCGCACCACCACTCGGACCACCGCCGCGCCACCCTGCTGCACCGGCGTCTCCAGCCACCAGTTCGCCCCCCTTCTCTATCTTTCTTCCTCTTGTGTTTCTCTTATTTTATTTTTTTATTTTGATGAAAAGCTTCAATTTTTATTTGATTTCAATTCTAAATTATTGTTATTAGGCTTTGATAGTATGTTTAATTTATAAAAAATCGCACATCTTTCTTCCACTTCTTTTTATCCATCGCCTTCGGCCCTAAGACGGATCAAAGAAGAGTGGGGAACCTCTCGCTGGTTTTTGGAATTTGACATCAGGAAGTGGATCATGCATGTACGTGGAGGAAGAAGGCTATGGGGTTAGCCCAACATGAATAAGGGCTCTACTTAGTGGAAAAGCTACTCCGACCCTCTATGTTTGTTAGTTTACCTGCCCTGGCCTGGGAGACAGACTTTAAGCGCATCTGAACTACCCATAGTTACAGGGTTGCACTCAATAGTAAATCAATTCGCGCATGCGCTATAACGATAGGACCTTAAGGAACGACGCGTGCGGGTAGTCAGCCCACCGCGCCGCCAAAGATTCCGAAGCTCATATGGCAAGAAGGGGCCTTAGAGATTCCAGACATCTTAAAAGATTACAAATTTATGAGTTTTAGCATGTTTAAATTATTATATAAAATTTCAGATTATATATGTTGTATAATTTAGGGTTTAAACATTGATTTTTTTTTATTTATTTATTATTTATTTTTTTATGTTTTAGGGTTTGAAAACGTGCTAATCAAGTTATCTTATTATACTATGTTTAAACTTTGTTAAAGTATAATTATTTTGATCATATATAAATTTTCAGATTATTAAAGTTTCGATTTTTATGAGCAAGTTATGTTAATTTCATGTTTTTATGCTTCTAAGCCTACAAAATAATTATTGTGGGTATTTTATGATTAAAAAAGCTTTGAACTTTAAATTCTAACCTTAAAAATAATTTTCAGATTTCATACTTTTTATTTTGAAGCCTCTAATTGCATTGAATTGATATATTTTTGGGTTTTTAACACACTAACTTGCTATATAATGATTATTTCAAGTAATTATGCTTATGCGGTTATTTTATATACTTAAACCAAATTTTCAGATTGATTTACTTACTTTAAAGTTGCTGTAATTTGATATTAAACACTATATTTTCATAATTGTAACATATAAACTTATAGTTGGGATGTTATATTATTAACTTTGACTATTGGGGACAATTTAAAGGCTTTATTTTGATGATTTAAGAGGTTTTAAAGTAGTTTATTAGTATTGCTGTAAATTTATTTGCTTGGGTATTGATTTATTTCTAATTCTTTGGTTTAGGAGAGGACTTTGTAGAAGGCGACTTCTAGTTTTAAAGTGACGAACCGGATTGTTTACATAAGGTACGTACAAGTTACGAAACCTTGCTTGTAGGTGCATGTTTAAGGACGGATCGAGAACTTAGTATCATGTATAGGATTGACTAGGTTAAATTGTTTTGTTATACATTGTGAATTTCAAATGATGTGCACTAGTTTATAATGCAAGTATTATTTGTGCTCTAATTATGCAAGGTGCGCTTAGAGGCAAAGGTATGTGATTGGTGTAAAGATTAAATTATTACTCATTCATGATTATGCAAACATGATGAGTAAAGGAGGAATTCAAGTCTTATAAGACGAGGTTATGGTTTTGGGGTGCCTTTATGCACTCAAGGTGTTTATACACCGAGGTAGTAAAAGAAGAAATAATAAATGTTGTTTGTCACTAATAAATCAAGAATTTAAATTGGGAAATTGCTTTGTTTGATTGAATTGTGTTTGGAATGGTTGTATTGTAATGTATATGAGTCATCACCAAGTCTAAACCTGTAAATCACGTAAAGTATATGTACAAGATGGATGAGCAATAAAACTCTGAATTGGTGCACATCTGGAGTAATGACAATCAGGGGTTGGGGTACATGGGGTATTAGCCGTGTACTTTTATCGAGACCGTCTGATCTACGAGTCTCCCATTTCAAATATTATTTTTGTAAAACTAGGAGTTAGGTGAGATCTGATCATACTAATAACTACGGTCACGGAGTCGCGCCCGTGGTCGTTGGATGTTTATTGATGTTTCCAAAAGGAGGCATGAGGTTTTTCTTTTATTGATGTTCCAAATGGAACATGGGTTGGACAACCTTGTCTATTGCTAAATCCAATGAAATAAATAAATGAGTTAGTTAATATCAACTAGTGAGGTCTTAATAAATTTGATAATTGAGTCATGTGTTGAGTCTGTATTTAATGATGCTTATGCTTGATTATTAGTAGCATGTTCGGTATTTTCTTAATTTATTTCGCAGCTTGTATGTACTCTGCTTTGCCGATTGCGTGCTTTTGTGTACGTGTGTCTTTCTTTGGTCATGGCCTTCGCCTTTCAATGACCCTGTGACGATTCAATTTTTACACTTGTAATATTGGGGAGCAGATTAACCACATGTTCTTACACATGCAACATCTATTTCTAGATGGTGGGATCTTGAGTGGAGAGTTGGTTACTTTCTTATTTTATTTACTATTTACATTTTAAAGTTATTTAAACTCAACTTTGCTTTTATACTATTTATATTGGTTTCAGTTTTGAATAAGGGCCTTAAGAGTTCCAAGTTGTAAGATTTAATTTGGTTTTGGTTATTGGTTTTGAAACTTATATATATTTATTTTAGTTTTTCCGCTGCTATTTTCTGAAAAAGCCTTAACGTTTGAACACGTGGCGGTAGCACTCCAGTAATTCTCTTGGAATTGTTCATGTTATTCACAGGTTTTTAAGAGAGAATTATTGGGGTGTTACAGTGGCCCTGTTTGGTAGTAAGCTTATTGGGGATATATTAGCTTATTTGACTAACTTTAGCTGATTGACTAGTCAAACAAGCTAATACAAGTGTTTGGTAGTAAGCTTATTGAAAGAGCTTATTCCACTAAATAAGCTCTTTTTGAAAAAGCTCATTTTAGGAGCTTTTTCAATTAGCTTATTTATTAATTATTGTGAAATGACATTTATAACCTCATTTAATTTAAAATCCTATCTAAACTACCTACCCCACAATTATCTTATTGGTCATTTCACATACTCAATCACCTTTAAGCTATCAGCTATTTACCAAACACTTTTATATAATCAGTTAATACAATAAGTTAGTCAAATCAGTTAATAAAATCAGCTAGTCAAAATCAGCTTCAGCTTTCAGCTTTCAGCTTTCTCCCAAGCAGGGCCAGTCTCTGTAGACCCCCACCAAAATCGAGCAAGTAATGCATGAATCTCATCAATCAATGTCTCCGGAATTCTGAAAATACTCATCATATAAGTTGGTATCGCCTGGGCTACCGCCTTAATCAAAATTTCCTTTTCGGGTCTAGATAGGAGCTTCTCTTTCCACCCTTGGATTTTCCACCAAATTCTCTCACATGAATATGTACTTCGTAGTGTTACACTTTTTTTTTTAATTTTTTTTTTTTTACAAAAAGCTACCTTTAAATATTATATTTCTCCTCTCAATATTATATCTCTATTCTCTCATTGATCCCACCCAAACCCACTACTACTTTATTTATTTTATATTTATACTTCCTCTCACATAGTCACATTCACTAATTTTCAATCAACTATTAACCCCAACAACATTAATCAAAGTGGTGCAGATAAATAGTGTCAAAGTTGAAATGGGACTTGGGTTAATAGTCAATTTATGGACTCAGGGGTTATTTGACTAATAATTTAAATTAATTAATTTGGGTTAATAATATTAAATTAACCTAATTTATTTTATTAAATCAATTTGATAGGTTCATTTAGAGGATTTAAATTGAATATAAGGGTTAATAATAATAAATGGTTCGCGATTACTAACTCAAAAACCCAATACACATTATTAAACCCCAACCCTAGGAGTCCTCTCTATTTCATTTGGGAGGAAGAGGAAGCAAGGAGACTACATCAGAAAATAAAGAAAACCTATCATAATACTAAACATCTCCAAAGAAA